AACCGTCACATTATAACGCCCCCTCGGCTGAAAGGGCGAGCATGTTTGGTGTGACGGGATTCGAACCCGCGACCCGCAGATTGCGAGTCGAGTACCCTAACCACCTGGCCATGCCGGGCCCTTTAATGTTTGAACTACTATTTTGCACTTTTTCAGTTCAATGATCATTGCCGATATAATGCAAATATAATTTCTTTAATCAAGATACGAGCGGTAATTAGTAGGCATACTTATTTACGTGCTCTAAATGTAAATCAATGAAATTTTTTACCTTTGTGAAAACCTCGGGGCCGAGACCTTTCGTTTAGCATCACTTAGAAGTTGGTTAGTCCAGCAGTTTAGAAATAGGAGTGTTCGGGACAACCCCGGTTCCTCAAAGGGTGGAGTGAACATTTGTTTACCTTTTACAAACCTCCTCGAGACTGAGACGATTCGTTTGGTAACATTTGGAAGTCGGTGCGACCAACGGTTTAGGAGGAGTTACGTAACACAATGACACACACACACACACACACACACACAATGAATCTTAATATCTATTATTTAAACTGTCCATTTGTCATTTAACACATCTGTTCAATGGTGGAAACATAGTTAACATCATAGTGTTGCTTCGCCTATATTCTGGGCCAGCTTTGCTAAAGTCAAAAGTTTAGAGTAACGTTGTAACAGATGTTTCATTCCGTTAACACTTACACGAATAAAATACTATTTAGAAAAAAAAACAGAAGTTGCAAACACATACTAGAAAAACCGAATTCAGTCTTATATAGTAAGCTAGATTCCAGATAGTAAGAGTCATCTCTGAACGTACTTATGGTTGGTTAAAAGTAAAAAAGTTTGTCAAAAAACAAACAGTCCCATTCACAACAACATCTGAGGCAATTCGACAAGGTCGTAGTTCCTCAAGTCGTGTACCGGATGTCATTAAGAACTAACGGCTCATGTCAGTACAGAATAAACGGTTGAGAGGAATATTTGAGCACGAACATTTAGAAAGTAAATGAACAATTTAGTATACATGTGACCATTTAGATTTTGCCATAAGTTCATGTTCGTAAATGTTAAAAATTATTTTTGCGGCTAATTTAATAGTCCAGTACAGCTTTGTCTACTGTTAGCCACAACACCACATTTTTGTCTTGATACAAACACAAAAGAACAGATTGTTTTTTGTTTTGTTTTTTATAAACTGGATATGAGCCGGGCGTGGCTAGTGATTTGCGTGCTGGGGTACGGAACGAAAGGTTCCAGGTTCGAGTCGTAATATCCCACTGAACACGCTCCGCACTTTAAACTGTGGAAGCGTTACAACCGTTCCATTTGATTCTGCGATACGGTTAAGAATTTTATCTACTTACTTGTTGCCCTCCCTCTGGTGAGCATTTCTGAACCACAGATGACTATGCCTCAATCTAGGAAACTCTTCGCCGAGTTTTACTTTCTGACGAAGATGAGTAGAAGCATGTGTATTTAACGCCGAGAATTTCTTATTTAGTTCCTGGGATTAATGGCACAAGTGTATAACAATAATACAAATTCTGAATTCATTTCCAGTTAGTGCTACGTCATAACAAGCTCTAAATATTCGTGTAAAGTAAAATTACATATCGTGCAAGAAATGAATTTTTTTTTTTTTTCAGCTACACAAAGGTCTATCTGCGCATGCCTGTCCTTAATGTTCAGCTGGTAGACTATAGAAAGGAAAATCAATTGGGCATAAGCACTAACCGCTAACTCTCGGGCTACACCTGTCTGACCCATTTGTGGGATTTGACCGTGAGTCTTATAGCGAGTGAACCCACGGCCCCAAACTGCGGAGTACGATTTTGCGGGCAACGGGACACGAATCTTGAATCATCTGATTTACATTCCAGGTACGCTAACCTCTACGTCAATAATGAATATGAGCCTTAAAAACAATGTGATATTAATCTTGAACATATAAAACGATACAGTCCTAGGGTTGGAACGTGCTTAAAACTAACTTTACAGATTAAAATTAAACAATAAAAAATATAAAAGTAAATAGCAGGAAGCGTTATAAAAATATTTGATAAAAAGAAAGAATAAAAAGTTCAAGTATTACAAAAAAAATTCAAACAGGTCAAACTCCAATAAAATAAAACAGCAAAAAGAATTAAACACTTAAATAAAATAATACACGGAGCTCTAAAGATTATATATAAAACACAGAAGTTTATTAAGATAGCCTAACATCTCCAGGACAAAGTTACAACAATATACGTATAAGCAGTTCATGATGTTACTGCTCAAATACTTTCATTCTTCTTTATCCCGATACCTTTATTCAAGCATCCATTAAAACAGAAAGATTATGAAAATATTAGTTACTTACTATCAAACTTCGATGTCTTGGACGCGAAAAGATTTTTCAAGGAGCCAATAGAATCCCTTAGAAGTTTGTCAAACTCCACGCGACTGTGTGTGCTCAGCTTGTGTTCCATCTGTTTTGTGCAACATGTATGACTCCGGTCACAGATACGGAGATGATCACCTGTAACACAAAACAACACTTTTATCTAAATAAAACAGAGCGAAATCATTTCCCAAATAAAAAATTCAGAGTAACCAGACTCTACCTAAAGTTTGGTTTGGTTGTTGTTAAGCACAGAGCTACACAATGGGCATCATGGGTATCGAAACCAGTTTTTAGCGTTATAAGCCTTCAGACTTACCACATTTGAGTCACATTTGGGCCATCTAAAGACAGACCCAAATTGTTATCTAAACACAAAATCAGAGAATATATCTAAAGACGGGTCCAAGTTATTATATAAACATAAAATCAGACTATATCTAAATACTGATCCAAATTATTATGTAAACACAGGTTCAGACCCAAGATAGACCCAAATTATTATTTAAAACAAAATAGGTTATTTAAAGACAAAGCTCGACTTTACAGAAATAATAGAAACAAGGTAAACAAGATCCAAGCTAAAATCTGAAGACAGACTGTTATTTCATGAAGAACCATACATTGTAATTTTAGGGCAGAATCGTGTTGTTTTTTTGTTTTTTTTCAAGGTAAAACTATATTTTTGTTGTTTACTTTAGGGCAGATCAAGGTGTTACGACATCGAGGTCACGTGGCTAGTATCACGCCACGTCGTTCTCGAACATTCAGTCATTTCCTTAAATCTCGTGATCCTTCTAGATATAGTGTACTCTTGTATATACATAAGACCGGCCACGAAGCGACGGGGAGGTAATGAGTAATTGAATGTATGCGGACAGAATATTGTTGGCCACGTGAGACGTGAGTTGAAATTAAGTGTATCGTAAAGTTGTATTCGGAAAGAATAAACGAGTTTTATTTAAGAAAGGACTTGTGTCGCTAAAGTTTCGTCGGGACGAATTTACGGGAAATTAACGAACGAACGGAGACGTAACAAAGGCTATTGTTTTCATACAATAATCTACTTAATGTTGACATTTTGACCGCTACTGTGTCAATTCTGTGAGTTTTGTCGCAGATTTGCCCCCTCATTCCGACCAAGATTCGCGAATAGGCCGCAAGATTCATTCATTTTCTACAGTTTTGGTTACGTCTAAATGTATTTACTTTTATTAATTGTTTCGATCTATTGCCGCAATAATATTAAAAAATGACCTATGACTGTTCAGACATCAGTAGCTACATCCATAACTTTACGTCAAGTCTAGAGACGTATCAACTCTTAATTACGTTGCTGAGACAACACATATTTGAAGCCATCATTATAACAATGCTTTTCATGGCAAAACAATTTATTCCATTAATGATCAATATACACTTGACAACAAAACCCATACTACCCGATAGAACTAGTTCCGTACTCATCTTTAAACAGGGATGTTTCTCATCGGAGGGTTCTATAATTTCAGATAAGGGAGGGAAAGATGTTTTGGTGTTTCTCTTTGTATGTTTAAACTAGTTGAAAAAACTAAACAATCCGAGCCACTTTTTTTCAGAATGAAAGTGTAAAAATGTGGTTTGTACACATTCTTAAACGATAATCAGTGGTATATAACTCACATTTATTTACTTTTACATTCACTATGCGCATAAATATAAACTCGGGGAAAGATTGGGAATCTGCAAAATCACAGAAAATGCAAGATAAACAAGACAGATGGTTTGGACATGCAGTAAGAAGTGAAGAAGCACGTGCGGTGAGAAGAACAGTGGAAATGCCAGTGGAGGGACGAAGAAGTAGAGAAAGACAGAGAATACGATGAAGAGACGTAGAGAACAGGGATATGAGGGAGGGACAGAGAATACGATAGAAGAGATAGTGAACAGGGATGTAAGAGAGGGACAGATAATACGATGAAAAGACGTAGAGAACAGGGATATGAGGAAGGGACAGAGAATACGATGAAGAGAGGTAGTGAACAGAGACGAGGGAGGGACAGATAATACGATGAAGAGACGTAGTGAACAGGGATTGAAGTCCCTGTTCACTACGTCTCTTCATCGTATTATCTGTCCCTCCCGAGGGAGGTCGGGTTTAACTACAAATGATGCATGTAATCTATGAAGACCCGAGTGGCTGACCCCATACCAGAAAGGGATTAAGGTTGTAAGAAGAAATGCATAAATATAAACATGTCTATAAACATTAGGATGCAGATGGTCAAGCCATCACGCTCTACATACTAGACTATAAATTATCTTTTTTGTTTCAACACTGTATAATCTTGCATTATACAACTCTCACTGCATATATTTTCGTGGCCGACAGTGTTTCTTATTTCCATACTGTTCCATACGTCGTCATAAACTTTATATCTACTTACCGAATAAGCTATAATTTATCGATACCTATTTCAGCATATGATTGTTATCTTCATAAAGCGACATTCAATCATAAACCGATTTCTTAAGTGCCAAACCTTTTTTTCTTTCCCCCTTTTTTACGCCAGAAGGTACAAATCATTTAAACAGTTTAACGTGAACTGTCGAAACAACTTTTAAAAGGAAATAATAAATTACGTTATTAAACAACCGCCACCATTATCACTGCTGCATAAGGTTCTTCATTTTCAAATCGAAGCCTCGGGGCGCATTATATGATCATCTTGTTTATATTTTACGAGGGGCAGGAATGTGAATTCAACATGGCAAGCGTGCTTAGCCCCATTTCAAGCAACCGGCACCATAAATCATCCTCACTATTTTGAGATCTTGACACATCCTCACAAAATGATGCCCTAAAGGTTGCGATTCGCTCCTGATATTGAACAGTATTCTATGCACTTTTTTGACGCACTGCTAAACACCTTATTGAATATGAGGAACAATTAAATAAAAATAATGGAAATAGAAGAGTCGGAAACAATACAAGATGACGGCTTGTCCTGCTTTGTATAAAGGAAATCAGATATGGAATACTTTGAAGACACTTTCCAATAACCTTATATACATAATTATATAATTAAATTGTATAAACAGGTTATTTTAACGGAAGATTCGATGATTAATGAAAAACAATGTCTAGTACATACAAAAAAAATCCATAATTCAAGAAGAAACATATGACAGTATTCACATTTCATAGAAAAGTCTTGGGAGCCTTTCCAGACTGTCGAGTAACGAAATGTATCAATAATTCCATACACGAGTCAAGCAACAAAGAAGTATATGACTCTTGTGTCTGCATGGAAACATAACTGGAAGATAACTCGAGAGAGTGTCCCTTCTAAGTAAGACTCAGTAGGTTTTTCTTTTTTCTTTTTTAATATTACGTTTCTCCATCCAAAGGTCAAACATTATCAATGAATAAACTTGTGAAAAAGAATATTCATAGCATAATATTATGTAATTAAACAGTTGTTTATCTGCATTCTGTCCACCGCAGGGAATCGAACCCCAGATTTTAGCGTTCTAAGTCCGTAAACTGACTCTGACCCATCGAGGGATGCAGCTAAATGACTAACAGTTATAAATGAAACATTTAAAAGTATTTGATTTTGAGAAAGAGTGGCTTTAAAAAAAAAAAAAGAAAAACGATAAGATTTTGGCTTATTTGCAAATTGGATAATATTTCAACACATGCTAGCTAAAGTTCAGTGAAATGGAGTATTTACAGTGCTAGAGACATACCTATCCATATACTGAAATAATATTCAGCGTGAATATACTCAAAGCTCGGCGCGCTCTTGATTCTGGAAAATAAGCCTCAACCATTGTTTTGAAATGACAACAACGATTCCAGCATGAGAAACAATAAGATAAGAATTTCTCGACGTTTAACTAGATTTTAGTACCTGAAGATAAGCTAGTCTATTAAGGGTGACACGTAGTTGTATTCGGAACAATAGGTATGGACGAAACGAGGCCAACCCACAACGGAGCCACCCAGGCAAAGAGGGAGTGATGGGGGGGGGGTGACTGATGAACAGAGACAAAGAAGGATTCTTGGTGGAAAATGACTTTATACTGAGTTTGAAATGGATGTTAATGTCTGAGGTCAACGGCTAATGCAACGTATCTTCACGAGCAATGTGACAATTGGAAAATAAACATGATCGACGAGGAAACGGGACGTACAGAAACCTACGACTTGACTGATGTAACAGTTTGTATGTTTGGAATTAAGCACAAAGCTGCACAATGAGCTATCTGTGATCTGCCCATCACGGGTATCGAAACCCGGTTTCTGGCGTTGTAAGTCCGCAGACATGCCTCTGTGCCACTGGGGGGCCTGATGTAACAGTTCACAAAATTTAATCATAACTTTTTTTTCTGTATTACTTATACGTAGAGCTACAACAAAGGGTACATTTTACCCTTCCAAAGTTTGGAACATAATACCAAAGAAAGTTCGAACCTTCGTTTGTACTAATTTGCACAATATATTAATGACGTCACCGCAGCGGCTTGTTTATATACGAAATCCCTATTTTACGCATAATCCAAGAAATAAAACACTCACATATAGTTTTAAGATACATTATGCAGAACAGTAATTATGTTGTTATATTTTAGATTACGTTAAAAATGCGTGCTACTTAAACTCACGCATACAATAAGTTTGTATTAAGAACACGTTCGTGTAGCCAATTACAAGAACTGCAGCTGACTCAGACAAACCAAGTCTTTATTTACCGGTCACCGTTCGAAACCTAATGCCCCCAAGTGGCACAACGGTATGCCTGCGGACTTACAACACTAGAAACCGGGTTTCGATACCCGTGGTAGTTAGAGCACATATAGCCCATTCTGTAGCTTTGTGCTTAAATACAAAATAAACAAACGAATAAAAATTAATACAGGTATCCCTAGATTTACGAAAGGGATACGTTCTTGGAGAACGTAACCTATAAAGGAAAAATGCAAATCGAAAACGCTTTTCCCATTATTTAAAGGTAAAAAATAGGGATGCGTTCCTGATCCAAATTTTTTATCCATACTAACGTTACACTTTCTTCCACTATGACGTAAGAAAAATATTGTTTTACAATTAACACAAACAAAAACCTGAAAGAAAAAGACATTTTCATTAATAA